CCACTGCAACTCTCTCGTAATCTCTTCGGCCTTGAAACTGCTCGACCACGTCCTGAAGCAAACCTTTCCACCTATCTTCTCCTCTATCCATCTTCTATCCGCCTCCCCCTCTCTCCCTGTTTATTTCAGAACCCCCTTCCCCTCCCCCATTTCTGAAGAAGGGTCGAGGCCCGAAATGTCAGCTTTCCTGCTTGGCCTGCTGTGTTCATCCAGCTCTACATCTTGTTATCACAAAAAAGGTGCAAATGTCTCCTGAGTTATGTATTTTTTTTGACTGGTATTTGACAAAGGTGCAATGTCTAACTCACTGGTGACCTGAGTCTTGAATCAGGCCACTGTTTTAAAGCCTTCTTTTTACATTTTGTTTTACTTTTGCAGCTTGACAGATGGTGAATTGAGCCGGTGAAATGGGGCTGTGTTTATTAACAAACACAACCCAACTATTTCACCATCGCGAGAAAGTGGAGTTCGATAGATTTGTTGAAATATCAGGGAGTTGGCTATGAGGAGCTGGCAGAAAAGGGGAGCTCAACCCTGATGTAGATCAGCCATGATCTTCTAGAATGGTGAGGCAGAATCGAGGGACCGAATGGTCTACTCCTGCTCTTATTTCTTCTGCTCTTATGTTTCCTGTTTAAGGTTCTTGAGTAGATTCGTAGCTCGGGTTGTGGATACTGTAGTTCGCTCGCCGAGTCGGTTCATTAGTTTTCAGATGTTTCATTACCCTGCTGGGTAACATCATCAGTGACGCCTCTGATGAAGCGCTGTTGTGTTTTCCTGCCTGGTATTTAAACTCTGGGGTCCGTTGGATTTGATTACCTCATTTCTGGTTTTTCTTGTGTATCTCGAGTCTAGTTCTATGTGTTTGTTGGTGGCCTTAATGGTGGAGAACGAGGCCTCTAGAAATTCCCATGCTGCTCTCTGTTTGGCCTGTCCCAGGATCCTGACATTGTCCCAATCAAACTGGTGGTTCTCCTTATCTGTGTGTATGGAGACGAGTTGAGTATTGGTCATGGCTTTTTGTTGTTAGTTGATGTCCAAGTATTCTCGTGGCCAGTTTCCTTCCTGTCTGCCCAATGTAACATTTGTCGCAGTCCTTGCATGGGATCTTGTATATCACATTGGTTCTGTCCAGAGTGGGTAAGGGGTCTTTGGTTCGAGTTAACAGTTGGTGTAGGCTTGACGTGGGTTTGTGTGCCACTCTGATACTTAATGGTTGTAGGAGTCTTGTGGTCAGTTTAGATATGTTCTTGATGTACGGTAACATGATGAGTATGTCAGGGTGTGCAGTATCTTCCTGCTGTTTGTGTGATAGGCATCGTCGGGCCCAGCTGTTCAGGTATCCCTTGTCTCTAAATACTTGATGGAGGTATTCTTCTTCATTTTGGCATAGTTCCGGGTTGCTGTAGAGTGTTGTGGCTCGTTTCAGTTGAAGCTGTGTGAAAATACTATTTAAACGAGCTACAACACACTACAGCAACCCGGAACTATGCCAAAATGAAGAAGAATACCTCCACCAAGTATTTAGAGACAAGGGATACCTGAAATTTGGGTCCGACGATGCCTGTCACACAAACAGCAGGAAGATACTGCACGCCCTAACACACTCATCACATTGCCATACATCAAGAACATATCCAAACTGACCACAAGACTCCTATGGCCATTGAGCATCAGAGTGGCACACAAACCTACATCAACCCTATGCCAACTGCTAACTCAAACCAAAGACCCCTTACCCACTATGGACAGAACCAATGTGATATACAAGATCCCATGCAAGGACTGTGACAAACATTATATTGGACAGACTGGAAGGAAACTGGCCACGAGAATACTTGAACATCAACTAACAACAAAAAGCCATGACCAATACTCACTCGTCTCCATACACACAGACAAGGAGAACCACCAGTTTGATTGGGACAATGCCAGGATCCTAGGACAGGCCAAACAGAGACAAGCACGGGAATTTCTAGAGGCCTGGTTCTCCACCAGGGAGGCCATCAACAAACACATTAAACTAGACCCTATATATACACCACTGCGAAGGAAAACCAGAAATGAGGTAATCAAATCCAACGGACCCCAGAGTTTAAATACCAGGCGGGAAAACACAACAGCGCTTTATTGGAGGTTGCACTGATGATGTTACCCAGCAGGGTAATGAAACATCTGCAAGCTAATGAACCAGCTCGGCGAGCCAACCAACCACAGTTTCCTGTTTCTAAAGTTACAATAGTCGCAATAGTATTTAAAAGTTTGACTTTGGCCTTGCCACTGTTTTGATGAAGTATAGGAACACCCGACAGTGACAGGGCCATGAGCCTTGCTGTAGTTGGTCATTGACCAAAGTGAGGAAGTACAACTGGGCTGCCTGTGCAACAGGTAAGAAATAAACACTGGAGTCACCTGAGGGTCAGTAGCCAGAGGACACAGATCGAAGAGAATTGGCAAAAGAACAAGGCTGGGTGTGGGTGTTGGGTATTGAGCTAATGAAGAGATATTTTGCGAGGCAACAAATGGAAGGCCCTGACTGACAGGGTTGTGGAAGCAGCTTCAATGGTGAAGTGAAATACTGGAGAAACTCCCATTGCAGGTCTTGCAGCTTTTGTGGAGAAATAAAAAAAAACCCAAAAGTTCACATTTTAAGTCCAATCTGACTTCCTCAGTTCCAAGGATGAGTCAAATTGAACTCAAAACATTAACCCTGTTTCTCTCTCTCCACAGGCACTGCCAGATCTGCTGAGTTTCTCCAGCTTTCTCTGCTTTTATTTCAGATCTCCAACATCTGCAGGATTTTGAATTTATTGCAACATCGAAGAGAATTGGATTAATACTTGAACAAGATAAATTTTCAGGGTGTTAGGGAGCGAGCAGGACAAACTGGACACCTCTTGAAAAGAGTTGCTACAGTCGTCTGAATGGCCTCCTTCTGTACTGTAAGAGTTTAACAGGCCACTTGCTCCATTTTCACTGGCTGTGTCAAACAGTGTGAAAATCAACCCTCAATGACCCTGGAATCTCTTCACTGTAAAAAAAAAACAGTTGAGATATTAAATAGCAACTTAGGATTTAGGAGCAGGAGTAGGCCACTCTGCCCTTTGAGCTACTGTGCCATGGCTGGTCTGTTTATGTTAGGAATTCCACATTCTCATTTATCCCTTGATAACCCTCGATTCCCTGCCGAACAGCAATCTGCCTGCCTCTGATCCATAAAATAATCACTGACCGTTCAGCCACCACCCTCTGAGATCAAGAGTTCTAAAGTTGCACAAACAAACTCCCCAGAGAGAAAAAAAACTGTTTGTCTCCTCTCTGTCTGTGTACAGAAACCTGTAAAAGCAGAATATACATTTTCTGTGTTTCGTACAATCAGAAGTTCCCAGGGGTGGGGGGGAGCGTTGCGTGTGAAACCTCAATGATACGGTGGAGGTAAAATCAGACTTCTTTTTTACTCACGTGGAATCTTGTTCAGCTCGTTCATGAACTTTTCCTTCACCTTGGAAAAGCCGTCATCCTTTCCCCCAGTCTGGCTGGTAATAGGCTCTGTGACATTGCCCACTGGAGCAGGGGTGGCAAGGGTGATGGGTCGTGCTGCCAAAGCTTCATGGTGACCTTCCAAGTTCTTCATCCTGGGCCAGGACCTGGGCCTGGGAAACCTCTACAGGAGGGACAGAAAGAAACAAATTGAGATGCTGTTCACACTCAGAGCTCAGGTAGGTTCTCGCAGTCCCAGGGCTTCAGAACACAGCTCTTGTTTTGCTACCCAGCTTTTCTTTTCTTATGCTTAGCCGAGTAAATAATGTATCACTGACACGTTAATGCTTGTTGCTTCATGCAATATTGATAAACTTGCTTAATGGAGTAGAGATCATCCGAGCCAGTAAAAAGGCTTCACTCATACATCACCTTGTCTGTAAAAGAGAGGCGTATCTGCCACTGTTAACCTGAAACCCTCAGACTACCAACCTTTCACTTTGTCTAACTCATACCTGTGTGATACTCACATTTACATAACAGTTTTAATGTAGCAGAAACATCCCAGAGTGTCTTCCAGAGCAGTTATCAGATGAACTTTGCACCAAGTTACATGTCATAGAGATGTACAGCACAGAAACAGACCCTTCTGTACAATTCATGCATGCTGAACAGATATCCTAAATTAATCTTGTCCCATTTGCCAGCATTTGGCCCTTGAAGCCCTTCTTATTCATTTACCCATCCAGATGCCTTTTAAATGTTGTAATTGTACCAGTCTCCACCACTTCTTCTGGCAGCTCATTCCATGCACTCACCACCCTCTGTGTGAAAAAGTTACACCTTAGGTACCTTTTAAATCTTTCCCTTCTCACCTTAAACCTAAGCTGTATAGTTTTGGACTCCCCTACCCTGGAGAAAAGACCTTGTCTATTTACCCTATCCATGCCCCTCATGATTTTTATAAACCTCTATAAGGTCCTTCCTCAGCCTCTGACATTCCAGGGAACATAGTCCCAGCCGATTCAACCTCAACCTATAGCTCAAACCCTCCAACCACATGTTGAGATATTTGGACAACAAAACTTGGGTTGTTGTTGGAAGTTCTTGGGAGATTGAGAGGTTAATGAAGGGACAGAGAGAAGCCCTGAGCTGTGGGCTCATGCCGCAACTGAAGACAAAGCCAGTCCCAATGGACAGATGAAAACTGGAGTCGCAAACGTTGGGAATTGATGATGCACAGGGTCACAGAGAGTTTGGATACAGGGAGGGGGAAGACAATGGCAAGAGCTGAAAGCAGGGATGAACATTGTAAAATGGAGGTGTTGCTGTACTGGGAGCAAATACTGGTCAAGCTCCACAGAGGTTATCATTGACCAGGACTTGGTGTAGTTTGGGTTCTGGTTAATAAGAGTTTTAGGTTAGCTCAAGATTGTCTGGGGTGAAAAGTGTAAGTCCTTTAGGAGATCATTGGGATGAGTCTAGTAACTAATCAAGATCATCACAGGATCCCTACAGTGTGGAAAGGCCATTCGGCCCAACAATTCAACACCGACCCTCTGAAGGGCATCCCACCCAGAACCATCCCCCTACCTTTTCCATAGCTAATGCACCTACACATCCCTGAACACTATGGGGCAATTTAGCATGGCCAATCCACCCTAACCTGCACATCTTTGGACTGTGGAAGGAAACCCACACAGACAGGGGGAGAATGTGCGACCTTCACACAGACAGTTGCCCGAGGGTGGAATCAAACCCGGGTCCCTGGCGCTGTGAGGCAGCAGTGCTAACCACTGAGCCACCGTGATCTGTTAAATAATCAACTATCTGTAAACTAGTAACAGGGTAAACACAGAAGAATGTTCCTGCTGACCAGGGAGTCCAGAACAGGGGTCACAGTCTAAGGATACAGGGTAGGCCATTGAGTACTGAGTTTAAAAGAAATGTCTTCACCCAGAGAGTGGGGAGCCTGTGGAATTCTCTACCACAGAAACCTTTCGCAGCCAATCACGAAAGCTAATAGAAGGTTATTGCTGATTGTGAAGAAAATTGAACGCAAGAGTAGTCATGTTCTGAGGAAGGGTCGCGGGACCTGAGGCATTAACTCTTGATTTCTCTTCACAGATGCTGCCAGACCTGCTGAGCTTTTCCAATAATTTCTGTTTCTGTTTCTGATTTCCAGAATCCACAGTCCTTTCGGCTTTTATAAAAGTAATCAGGTTATGCTTCAGTTAGACACAACACTGGTGAGACCACATTAAGAGTATTGTGCTCGATATCAGTCTCCTTATTTAAGGAAGGATGTAAAATGTTGGACACAATTCAGTTAAGATTTATGAGATTGGTATGGAATGATTGGATTGTCCTATGAAGGGAGATTAGACAGACTTGGCTTGTTTTCATTAGATTTAGAAAAGTGAGAGGTGATTTCATTGAAGTGTATAAGATCTGGTATGGTCTTGACAAGGTGTGTTTGAAAGGATGTTTCTTCTTGTGGGTGAGTCCAGAACAAACCATGATCTAAAATTACTTGTCACCGTTTTAGGAACAAAGATCAGAAAAAAAGTCTTTGGGAAATTGCCCAGGGTATGCCTTGTATACAAATAGCAGAACAGCTCCAACCCAGCCAATTACCGCCCCATCAGCGTACTCTTGATATACAAGACCATAATACATACAAACAGAATTAGGCCATTCGGCCCATCGAGTCTGTTCCACCATTTAATCATGGCTGATTTGATTCTACAACACCCCCATAACCTTTGATCCCATTACTCATCAAGAACCTATCTCTGTCTTGAAGACACTCAATGACTTGGCCTCCACAGCCCTCTGTAGCAATGAGTTCCACAGAGTCACCATCCTCTGGCTGAGGAAATCCCTCCTCATCTCAGTTCTATAGGATCATCTCTTCACCCTGAGGCTGTGCCCTTGGGTCCCAGTCTCTCCTACTAGTGTCTGACCTAAAATGTCACCTCTTTTTTACACTGATAAAACCTTTAGCTCTCTCAGGGCAGTGACTTGAAAGAAATTCTGGAATTTACATATACATATTGATCAATTAAAACCTGCCAACTGATTAAAGATTTAACAGCATCTTAGCTGTGTTTAATACATCCTCATCAGTTGTGTGACCCTTTGATCTTTTACTTATAAATTTCTGTGTTCTATGTGCTTCTTTTTCACTTCACCTGATGAAGGGGCTATGCTCCGAAAGCTTGTGTTTTTAAATAAACCTATTGGACTATAACCTGGTGTCGTGTTATGTCTGACCTTCTCCTGCCAGTGGAAACATCTTCCCCACATCCACTTTATCCAGGCCTCTCAGTATTCCATAAGTTTCAGTCAGATTCCCCTCATCCTTCCAAACTCCATCAAGTACAGACCCAGAGTCCTCAGCCCATCTTCATATAACAAGCCCTTCATTTCCAGGATCATTCTTGCGAATCTCTTCTAGACCCTCTCCAATGCCACAACACCCTTCCTCAGATACAGGACACAAAACTGTTCTCAATATTCCAAATGTAGTCTGACTGAGACTAATACAGCCTCAGCAGTACATTTCTGCTCCTGAATTCTAACCCTGTTGAAATGAATGCTAACATTGCATTTGCCTTCCTAACTGCCAAGTGAACCTACATGTTAACCTTAAGAAAATCCTGAACTAGGACTTCCAAGTCCCTTAGTGCTTCAGATTTCCGAACGTTTCCCCGTTTAGAAAATAGTCTGCACCTCCAATCTTCCTACCTAAGTGCATAACTTCAAACTTTCCCACATTGTATTCTATCTTTGCCTACTCTCTTAGCCTGTTCTTCTGCAGCCTGTCTACTTCCTCAACACTACCTGTCCCTCCACATATCTTTGTGTCATCTGCAAACTTAGTAACAATGCCCTCAGTTCCTTCTTCCAGAATGTTCCTATATAATATGAATAGTTGTGGTCCCAACACAGACCCCTGTGGAACTCCACTAGTTACTGGCTGTTATCCTGAAAAAATTCCCCTTTATCCCCATTCTCACGCTTCTGCCAGTCAGTCAATCCTCTATCCATGTCATTATCTTGTCCCTAACACCAAAGTCTCTTATCTTATTTCACTTCACCTGACAAAGGGGCTGTGTTCCGAAAGCTTGTGATTTCAAATAAACCTGTTGGACTATAACCTGATGTCGTGTGATTTCTGACCTTGTTCACCCCAGACCAACACCGGCACCTCCATATCTTGACTTATTTAGCAGCCTTCTGTATAGCACATTGTCAGAGGCCTTCTGGAAATTCAAATAAATCACATCCACTGGCTTTTCTTTGACATTTAATGGTGTTACCAGCACTGAATCCCCCATTATCAACATCCTGGGGGATACCATTGACCAGAAATTTAACTGGATTAGCCATAAATACAGTGGTTATGAGAGCAGGTCAGAGGCTGGGAATACTATGGCGAGTAACTCACCTCCTGACTCCCCAGAGCCTGTCCACCATCTACAAGGCACGAGTCAGGAGTGTGATGGAATACTCCCCATTTGCCTGGATGAGTGCAGCCCCAACAACATTCAGGAAGCTTGACACCATCCAGGACAAAGTACCACATCCACAAGCATCCACTCCCTCCTCCACCGACATTCAGTAACAGCAGTGTGTACTATCTACAGCATACACTGCAGAAATTCACCAAAGATCCTCAGACAATATTTTCTGAACCCACAACCACTTCCATCTAGAAGGACAAGGGCAGCAGATACATGGGAACACCACCCCCTGCAAGTTCCCCTCCAAGCCACTCACCATCCTGACTTGGAAATATATTGCTGTTCCTCTACTGTCGCTGGGACAAAATCCTGGAATTCCCTCCCTAAAGGCATTGTAGGTCTGAAATTCTGACATGAACCTTGCTTTCCGAGGGAGAACCAGTGGGCAGGGAAAGGGCCAGCTCAAGGAACCTAAAGACATTTTCTTCTGGAAAGGTACTTCAGAAGGAGGCTTGGGAAAGGGGGAGGTGCATTGAGACCTGGGTGTCCTTGTGCACCAGTTGCTGAAGGTGTGCATGCAGGTGGTGAAGAAGGCATATGGTGTGTTGGCCTTCATTGCGAGAGGATTCAAGCACAGGAGCAGGGATATCTTGCTGCAGCTATACAGGGCCTTGTTGAGACTGCACCTGGAGTATTGTGTGCAGTTTTACTCTCGTTATCTGAGGAAGGATGTTCTGGCGATGGAGGGAGTGCAGCAAAGGTTCACCAGTCTAATTCCTGAGGTGGCAGGACTAACATCATAAGAGAGACCAGATCAGTGAGGACTATATTCACAGGAGTTTAGAACAAGGAGGTAGATCTCATAGAAACCTATAACATTCTAACAGGACCAGGCAGGGTAAATGCAGGTGATGACAGGGGACTCCAGAACAAGGTGTCATAGACTAAGCATATGGGATAGGTCATTTAGGACTGAGATGAGGAGAAATGTCTTCACCCAGCGAGTGGGGAGCCTGTGGAATTCTCTGTCACAGAAAGCGGTTGAGACCAAATAGTTGAATGTTAGATATAGTTCTTCGGGCTAAAGAGATCAAAGGGTATGGGGGAGAAAGTAGGAACAGGGGACTGAGTTGGATGATCAGCCATGATCACAATGAACGGCCGAGAAGGCTCAAAGGGCCGAATGGACTGCTCCTGCTCCTGTTTTTCTATGTTTCTATGTAAGAGTGCTTCTTCCACAGAGTAGATTCTCAAAACAAATTAATTGTCTAAGACACACCCCCTTGCAGGAGAAAGGAACATCCATGACCTTCTGCTCTCCCTTGTACTGAGACCAATGGCCCCCTCGAGCTATAGCCTCCACAGTGGGTGCAAAGAGGGATTTTACACCGACCTTAAGCAGCCCCTGTCCCGAGTCAGGGCTGACAACAAACAGATCCTCCTTGGTGACTCCACACCGGAGCTGGGGTGACAGTATCGGTGGGGGGGAGAGGATTTGGGAAATACAAAGCACTGGGGCTGTGCTGCTAACATTATGCCTCGAACATGACCTTGTCATAACCAACAGGTCATTCTGGCAGACAAAGTTACAAGTCACACGATACCAGATTTTCATCCAACAGATTTATTTGAAATCACGAGCTTTTTGACCACAGCCATCAGGTGAAGTGAGAGAGAAGCATGCACATATAGAGGTTATGGGCAGAGAGATCAAAAGATCATACAAATGGTGTGAGTGGAGTGTTGAAAAATAAGTCTCTGCAGGTGATCAGAAGTGTCAGATGGTGAGAGTAAAGTGTCAACAGCTGAATAACATGTGAAGGGTAGATCCATAATCTGATTAATTGAAGCAGAGACATAATAATAAAAGGTTAAAAATGACGTGGTGCCGGGGACAAACCAAATGGCTGGAATAACATGACAGGTATAAGAGTCACATGAGTTACCAAAGTAATAAGTAATCCAAAACTGTACAAACTAATTAAGGTAAAGAGATCATAGCAAGTTATTAAAGTTAGAGGCCCAAACCAACCATACTGAATCCCGCCGCCTATGGCAAGGCCTAACCAACATTAAGGGATACAGAACGAAGCAGAGCAAGATATCAGACAAAGACACATCTCTCCCTGATGCGCTCAGTGCTTTCTATGCTCAGTTTGAGCAGAATGCCAGCAACACAGTGTTACCTGCACCGACACTCCCAGACAAACCTGTTCCCCCGTCATTGCAGACGTCAGATCGGTTTTCCTGGGAGTCAAACCCAAGGAAAGTGACAGGCCTGGATGTTGTCCCTGGCCAAGCACTTAGATCCTGTGCAGACCAGCTGGCAGCAGTATTCACTGACATCTTCAGCCTCTCCCTCTTATAACCTGAATCCCCACCTACTTCAAGAAGACCACCATCATCCCCGTACCTAAGAAATCACATTCAATGTGCCATAGTGACCATCACCCAGTGGCTCTGATCTCAATAATCATGAAGTGCTTTGAGAGGCTGGTCATGGCTCACATCAACTCCAGTCTCCCAGCCTGCCTCGATCCCCTACAGTTTGCCAACCAATGTAACAGGTCCACAGGGGATGCCATTTCCCTAGCCCTGCACTCATCCCTGGAACATCAGGACAACAAAGACACCTATTTAGAGGTCCTACTCATTTACTACAGCTCTACCTTCAACACCATTATCCCCTCCAGACTGATCTCAAAGCTCTGAGACCTCGGGCTCAGCTCCATCCTCTGCAACTGGATCCTCAGCTTCCTGACCCACAGACCGCAATCAGTGAGGATAGGTAACTGCACCCCCTCCACTATAACACTCAGCACTGGAGCACCCCCAAGGATACATCCTCAGCCCCCTACTGTACTCCCTGTACACCTATGATTGTGTAGTCAAATTCTGAACGAACACCATCTACATCCGTGGTAGGACGGATATCAAGCAATGACAAGTCAAAATACAGAAGGGAGATAGAGGGCTTGGTGATGTGATGCAATGATAACAACCTCTCTCTCAAAAGAACTAATCATTGACTTCAGAAAGAAAGAAGGAGAACACGCCCCCATCTACATCAATGGAACTGAGGTTGAGAGGGCTTAGAGTGTCAAGTTCCTAGGGGTGATGGTAACCAATAACCTGACCTGGACTTCCCACGTGAATGCAACAGTCAAAAAGACACAACAACGCCTCTTCTTCCTCAGGCAGCTCAGGAAATTTGGCATGTCCATAAGGTCCTTCACCAACTTCTACCGATGCACCATTGAAAGCACACTACCCGGGTGCATAACGGCCTGGTACGGCAACTGCTCTGCCCAGGACCGTAAGAAACTACAGAAGGTGGCTATCAGTCTCTGCTCGGAGATTCTGCGTTGTTGTGTACCTCAAAGGCCACCTTGGAGGAGGCTTAGCTGAAGATCAAAGGCTGAATGTCCGTGACCACTGAAGTGTTCCCTGTCTGGTGATTATTGTCGTAGCGACTGCATTGTCTCACCAATATACCACGGTATGAGATAGACAACGTTGGCCGAGTCACATGAGTATCTGCTGTGTATGCAGTGGGTGGTGTTCCCACGTGTGATGGTAGTGTCCATGTCAATGATTTGACAAGTCTTGCCGAGGTTGCCCATGGCAGGGTTGTGTGGTGTTGTGGTTGATGTTGTCCTGAAGGCTGGGTACTATACAACGAACAATAATCTGTTTAACCTTTGGTGGTTGTTTGAAGGCGACAAGTGCAGGCATGGGGATGACGTGTTGAAAGCTACGAAGAACATGTTGTAGTCTCTCTGCTCTGGTGGAGTACTGGACGATGAAGGGTACTCTATCGGTCGTATCCTATGTCTGTCTTCTGTGGAGGTTATTAGTTTTTTGCTGTGGCATGTCAGAACTGGCGATCAATCAGTTGAGCATTGTATCCCGTTCTTATGAGGGCATCTTTCAACACTTTACGTGTCCCATAGTTCCATGCTCATGAAGATAGCTTCAACTGT